AGGTCCGCCTGCTTGCGGTTGCGGTGCTGGTAGAGGTGGTGCTGCCGGTGCCTGAGGTAGTCTCGCCTGCTCTTCCCTTATCCTGGTCTCATCTACCAGGTCCCTTAGATGACCTTGTCTTACCAGGTCTTCCAGATGTGCCTTTAGGGCTCTGCACCCTTGAGTTAGATGCCTATTCTCATTGTGGTAGGCACATCATTTTCCCAGACTTCTTCTCATAAATTTACCAGGAATCCTCTCTGGTGCTCTATGATAGGGCTGATTCCGAATTCTTTCCAAGACTTTGTAGATCGGAATTCGGAATACGGTTGTGACTGCCTATGTAGCCCTCAATCCTGTCTCCTGTTTATTGTATCCACCATTACCACGGCCTCGCTTCAGCGAGCTGTTTCTCTTCTCCTGTTTTGACGCATTTGTCCCCAACGTGTCCTTCTCGGCCCTAGCATACTTTTCTATCCTGGCCATAACTTCCTCCATACTTTTTGGAAGTGTCTTTGCTAGTGATTTTCGAAGCAGCCAATCATCTTTCAAGCCGTTCTTAAAAGACACGACCGCCACCTCTTGGTTGCACCTTGGTATTCGATTGAACACCTCGTAATACCTTTTAGTATAAGTCCTGAGGCTTTCATCCTCGCCAATTCTCAGAGCCATCAAGGAGTCCACCTACAATGGTTGTAGTTTGTTTGTCACAAACCTGGCCACGAACAACTCGGCCAAGCCTTCCCAGCTTTTCACAATTCCTTTCGATAACTTGTGAAACCAGTCTGATGCGATTTTCCCAAAGGATGTAGGGATGGCAATGGATAACCTACCCTGTGGGTATCCATGGAGACCCAAACCAAATACATGGGTTTTCCCCTCTTTTTCTTATCCATTGGGTAGGGTAGGTGATATTCTTTAAATATCCACAGGGGATGGGTTGGGGATGGGTACCCACTAATTCCCCCATATGTTAACACCTTGCAGAGCAACGGCTCGTTCCGGGTGTACAGTGCCATTGAGTTCAGGTACAAGCCGACGTGAAAGTTAGGGTCAGACTTACCGTTGTATATCTAGAATATTTTCATGTGGAACTTCTTCAGGGCCTTAAACTTGTCCAATTCAACCGAGAACGACGTTCTCGGTTTGACCGGTGAGGTTACCTTGGCATCTTGTCACTTCCTCTGGAGGTAATCCCTAAAATCCTCCTTGGTTCGTCCAGGAGCTTGGCTATCAAAGAATTTCAGCCTTTTTGGTGCACTACTCCCAGTATCGTTATGAGTCCTCTTGGACCTCCCTCTATTGGTCGTATCGAAACAAAATTCCTTCCCTTGAACATGCCGATGTTCTTTGGGCTCAGTTTCTTTGGTACGGTGTGTCCTCCGAGAGTCTCCCTTCATTGACTCTCCTCGCCCGACCTCCCTTAAAGGCCGGTGATAGTGTTCCTTGGTCTTGGTGTACTGGGGGACTGGAGGAACTATTTTCTGCCCCCCATTTCTGGGTATCTTTTTTGGCCGTTGGAATCGGCGTGTCTTGTAACAGAAATGATGGCTGCATGACATTGTTCTGCATCATGAAATTGACGACAGATTGCAGGTCTGCCAATTTGTTCGCCATTCCCTTCATCTCGCCGTCCCTCCGCAGGCATCTATCTTTCTATACCTGGAGGTCGTCCTCGTTATAATACCCGCCTCGGTCTGACTTCTTTGGTACGTCGTCTTCCTGGCCGACGTCTTTTTCCTCGAGATTCTGATCCCGAGTTTCTTCGTTGTAGTTATCCTTCTCTACGTTAGGATCAAAGTGTTACCACTTCCAGTAGGGATGTCGTCCCCGATCTTCTCTTTCTGTCCGTCGTTAGCCATCTATTCTTCTTTCTTTCCCACAGACGGCGCCAAATTGTGTGTGCTGTTTTCTGACCACACTGTCAAATAGGTACTCAGCTGGAGAACACTGGCAGAATAGATCACGCCCAAACGACCTGTCATAGAAAGAAAAGACTCTGGCGGTAGTTCTTCCACCCGGGGGCACTACTCCGGCAATCAAGTTAATACTCAATTATTTCTCAAAGATAATAATTAGTGCTTAACTCATGAGCCAGAATATCAAAAGCGTACCTTAGACCCACGAGGGTGCCTTTCTTTTATAGTCAGCACTGACTTGATCCCTGTAGAAACCTAGCTTCTCTTGGACTCTTACCTAATGCTCATCCTGGACTCTTTAATAGATAAAGATAAACTCCCTAAGGGCCGATTTGTTTTCAGAGATAGAATAGAGGGGATTGATAGTGAGGGGATTAATAGTGAGGAGACTGTTAGTGAGGGGACTGCTAGTGAGGGGATTAAGAAAAATGTGTTTGTTAGATAACTAGTGGACTAGTAATAATGCATGTTTGTTTTGAGAGATATGGATGTGATTAACCATATAAAATTACACAAATACCCTTGTTGTATTAATATTAAATTTAAGCTTATACCAACTAATAAATACATTACCCAATTAAACTATTCAAAAATTAAAATTAAAATTATATAATTAAAAATAATAAAAAATTCAACTATTAATCTTTTATTATTATTATTATTATTATTATTATTATTATTATTATTATTAAAGAAACCAACCAATGGTTTCTCCAAAACCAGCCCATGATTTTGAAAAAGTGTTCAAAACATTAAGAAAAAGATGGTGCCTTTCACTTTGTGACTTCAACCATGTAAGGCCGATGATGACACTTTTACTTCATCCATATAAGGCCGACAGTGACGAAGAACAAGATCTGGATCATCAACCTTAATGAGAACAATGATGCTGCTTCATTCGGGTATGATTTTTTTTTCTTGAAAATTTCTGGGTTTGTGGATAAGAACGACGATGTTGTCTCATTTGAGCCAATTTTCTGTAAATTTCTGGGTTTCTTGATATTTTCTGAAGATTGAAGGAATAAATAATGATGGTTTCATTCAGGTATGATTTTTTTTTTTCTTGCAAATTTTTGGGTATATGGATGTTTGTGGATCAAAACAACAATGTTGCCTCATTTGAGCCAATTTTCTATAAATTTCTGGGTTTGTTAATATTTTCTAGAGATTGAAGGAACATTTTTGTGGGCAAAATTGTCATTCACACTCTAATACCAACTGCTTAAATTCTAATACCAAGTTCTCTGCACCTTTGCTAACAAAACCAGCCCATGATTTTGAAAAAGTGTTCAAAACATTAAGAAAAAGATGGTGCCTTTCACTTTGTGACTTCAACCATGTAAGGCCGATGATGACACTTTTACTTCATCCATCTAAGGCCGACAGTGACGAAGAACAAGATCTGGATCATCAACCTTAATGAGAACAATGATGCTGCTTCATTCAGGTATGATTTTTTTTTCTTGAAAATTTCTGGGTTTGTGGATGGGAACGACGATGTTGTCTCATTTGAGTCAATTTTCTGTAAATTTCTGGGTTTCTTGATATTTTCTGAAGATTGAAGGAATAAATAATGATGGCTTCATTCAGGTATGATTTGTTTGCAAATTTTTGGGTATATGGATGTTTGTGGATCAAAACAACAATGTTGCCTCATTTGGGCCAATTTTCTATAAATTTCTGGGTTTGTTAATATTTTCTAGAGATTGAAGGAACATTTTTGTGGGCAAAATTGTCATTCACACTCTAATACCAACGACTTAAATTCTAATACCAAGTTCTCTGCACCTTTGCTAATCCCCTCGTTGGAGGGGATTCAGAGTCCGAACGGATTATCAGTCTAGGGGCTATCTTGCAAACAAATGTGATATTGTGAATCCAACCTCACTACTACTAATCCTAATCCCAAGCCTCAACTCGAAAAACAAACGGGCCCTAAGAGCTTTATCCTTATCCAGGCTGAGGTCCTCTCCCATTTTAGGACTCTTGTCCCTTATCCATTAATCTCGGATTCCGATATCTCCGCAAATAACCTTGGCCTAGCCGAGATCACCTCAGCGCCATGACCAAGACACGCGGCACCTCGACTGGCACTTCGGTGCCACCTTGGCCATGTGTCGTTTGTTCAAAAAATATGCCCCCACAATAAATATAAATATTTTGTGTATAAATTAAAAGATTTCTTAAATAAATTCAATCACACATTATTACAAATGTAAATTTCAATAAAACCAACAAAGATAAAGTTTAGATCTCAATAAAAAAATATATATTTTAATGTATTACAAATAAATAAATTATTAATTAATTTAATAACAGGCAAAGCCAGGCCGAGTTAGATTGAAAAGGGCAAATTACACTAACAGTCCTTATAGTTTGGAACTCGTGTTACTTTGGTCCCTGACTTTTTAATTATGACACATTTGACCCTAAATTTTGAATATTGTTCCAAATAAGGACAATTGAAGATACCATTATTTAATTTTAAGGGCAAAATTGTCAATTTAATAAAATATAAACTAATTTGACAAAAATAAATGTCAAAAAAATATTTTTATCCACTAATGATAAAATTATGTAAAATTAATAAAAATTACATGATAAATTTTTAAAAATTAATTTTACATGAACATCGTCCAAACACATAATAAAAATTAATTTGATAAAAAAAAATAAATGTCTAAAAGACTTATCAATGTTACATAATTTTATTTTTAGTGAGTATAAATAATTTTTTAAAATTTAAAAATATTTGTTTGACATTTATTTTTGTCAAATTAATTTATATTTTATCAAATTGATGATTTTACCCTTGAAAAATCTAATGATATCTTCCATTGTCCTTATTTAGAATAAGATTCAAAATTTAAAATCAAATGTATCATAACTGAAAAGTCAAGAATAAAAGTAACACAAGTCCCAAACTATAAAAATTATTAATGTAATTCACCAGATTGAAAATACAAATTCTAAACCCAGGCCGAGTTAGTTCAATCCGACTTTACAAACTAAAATATCCTTTCCAACTCTAAAGACATAGTACTGAACCAGACGAATTGGGCGGGTCAACCGGCCCATATCCACCCTAATGCCAACACTGACCTGTCACCTCTATCTCTTCTCTCTCTGGTCATCAACTACAAGTCAAAGAGCAAACACTTCCTGGTTGTTGGGTAGCATTTTTTTTGGTAAGAGGATTAATATCGACTCCAGTTGTAGGAAATTTGCATATATTTCATTCCCACCTAGGCTTTGCATATTCTCTCTCTCTCTCTCTCTCTCTCTCTCTCTCTAACTGAAAACAATGGACAAACGCCCCAAGAAGCAACCCAAAATCACCACTACTTCTGAGTCAGAAGGTTCGGTTTTCTTTCTCCTTCTTTGTCCTTTCCTGTCGTACTCTTTGCTTTTCATTATTTGAGACATTTGCGTTGTGTTATCTTGTGTTATAAAGCAAGGTTTTAAATAGTAATCACCTTGCTTGATTCTCAGTTTTTCAAAACACTTTTCATAAAATTCTACTTCCTTATTTTTTCTATTTTTTTTTGTTTTTATTGAATTTTTTAAAATATTTTAAGTAATTTTTTTATTTTTTAGACACACCTAACATAAATACACCTAAAAAGTAAAAAATTATAAAAAAAAAATCTTTTAAAAATTCACTAAATATCAAAAATACAAAAAAAATACAAGAATTCAATACATTTTTTATATTTTTATGTATTTATTAATTTTTTAAAATATTTTTTCACAATTTTTTTACTTTTTAGATACATCTAAGTAAGGTGTATCTAAAGAAATAAAAAAAATGTTTAAAATTTAAAAAATATTCACTAAAAACAAAAAAATACAAAAATTAAAAAAATCAACTTTTAAAAAACTTAATTCAGAAAACTCAAACCAAACGCAATGAATATTAGTAATATCAGGAGGGAGAATCAGTATTCAGTATCTATTACGGTATAATTATATTGAAAGTATGAATATGATTTTTTTAAAATCAATCATCACAAAATAATATATATATATATATAGCTATTGAATTGGCCATATCAAATGCTAATTGAGTCGTGAATCTATAGGTTCATTGGTCCGGCTCATAATACAATTTGGCATGGGCTAAGTGAGCCCCCTAGTGGTTTACCGAATAAATTGATAAAGTCGGCATCTCAGACCCACCTAGGGAAACTGGTGGTTTTTTATATCACGACCAGTTAAAGCTAAAGTTTCATCCAAGAGCGTTTTCACACTATAGAGCTTTGTTGGTGAATATTACAGAAAATCACTAGAATAAAATATATGCACTTTGCTTGATTAGAATTTTTCAAAAATACTTTTTAAAAAAATTTATTTTCTTATTTTTTGTGTTTTTTTTATTTTTACTGAATTTTTTTAATATTTTAAGTATATATTTTTTTTAACTTTTTAGACATACCTAACATAAACATACTTAAAAAGTAAAAAAATTGTAAAAAAAACCTTTTAAAAATTTACTAAATACCAAAAATACAAAAAAAAAAAACGAGAATTCAGTACATTTTTTATATTTTTATGTATTTATTAATTTTTTAAAATATTTTTTCACAAATTTTTTACTTTTTAGATACATCCAAGTAAGGTACATCTAAAAAAGTAAAAAAAAAAGGTTAAAATTTTAAAAATATTTACTAAAAATAAAAAAATACAAAATCAAAAAACTCAATTTTTAAAAAACTTAATTCAAAAAACTCAAACTAAACACGCTGATTAAAATTACAATAAACATAAAATTTATGTAACAAATAAATTAAGTTAAGACACGAAAATATTGCTCTCTTTAGGAAAATTCAAATCCTCTACGATTGGCAAAGCACACAAACTGGTACAATAAAATTAAACTTTTAGCTTGTCCCTTCCATAATACAATCATCCAACTATTCGTTGAGCCACAACAATTTCCTCTTTCACATAGTTGCACCTTTTTGACTATTACACTCATTCATTAAATTGTTATAATTATTCACTTCCACGATTTCTTACCATTTTTTACAACTTTAGTTGAGCATTAAGGCCAGGCTTGTTTCGTGAGTTGAGTGGTGGAATTGGACTATTATGGCGGTAAGTCTCACTCATAATATATTTACTCATAATATATTTATGTTGTGTTTAGTTAGAGGATTTGAGGAGGGATTTAAAAAGGAAAATGAAAAAGGTAAGTGAAATATGAATAAAATATGCCTATATTTCACCTAATTTCACACACTTTTTCCCTTTTTCTTTCCAAATCTCTTCCCAAATCCTCCAACCAAACACAGCATTAGTAGTAAAATAAGAAGGTAAATTGATAGTTCAAGGGGTTTAGTAGCTTGGTTGGATTTTGGATGTAATTAAAAAAATAATGAGAAAATTGAGTTTATTTTATATAAAAAAAAATTATTTTATTTTATTTTTAGTTTTTACCAAGTGCACATGTTTGTTTTAATATTTGTTTTCATTTTTTTAATATAAAAATAATTCAACAAGCCTATCACTAACCATCTTTTATATTATTATCAAAGCAAACACACTTTTACTTGATCCCCTTACTAACAATCTTCACATTAATAATCTCTTTACTAACCATTCTCTCACTAACAATTTCATCCAATCTAATCCGCCAAACAAACGTGGCCTAAATGCAAAATACATACGTATCTTGTACATTGATATTTTAATATTAAAATACTATAGGAAAAAAATTATTTTACTTCCATGTGGTATGTCATTATAGCACTTTATCCCATTGTATTTTAAAAATAGTCATATGCTCCCATTTATTTTTGGACTAAAATGAAACTGTTAACTGTAGATGTAAAATGATTATAATACTCTTAAACTCTATATTTTTTTTGGTTATTTTCTTTCTTTCTCATCTCTCATACACGTAATTTATAACATCTAATATTAATTTAATTAAATGACAATTCATTATAAATTCTTAATTATTTATTGTAATTCTCAAATTTTTATTATAATTTTAATTTAATTATATTTTAGATAACAATAATCCTAAATATTTAACTATTTATTGTAATTACTAATTTTTTAATCTAATTTTAATTTAATTATATATTTTAGATCATAATTAATCATAAATTCTTATTTATTTATTATAATTTCTAACATATTAATTTAATTTTAATTTAATTACATTTTAGATCAATTCTTAATTATTTTTTATTTTATATTTTAAATCAATTCTTTATTATATTTTATATTTTAGATCAATTCTTAATTATATTTTAATTCACATACTAATCTAATTTTAGGTTTAGAGAAAATGGGGGTAAAATTGTCCTTTTGTTATATTAATTTCATTTTAATTTTTCAGAAAACAAAACTTACTCTAAGAAATGGTGTGTGGAATACATATTCGTAGTTTGGATGAAAAAACTAATGGTAGCACTTTAGTCTAAAATCATATGGAGCTTTTTGACTATATTTGAATGATAAGAGTAGGGCTGCAAATAAACAGAACTGTTCGTAAATAGACTCAAGTTCGGTTCGGTAAGAGCTCGTTCGAATTTGGTTTGTTAATTTTTTTTTTTTTTTTACTTTTTGAACTTTTTAACTAATTAAAAATCATTCTTTCCCAAACAATTTTATGAGTTTTAAATCCTTTTTTTGGGTAAATTCTTTTAACGTTTTAATAAATTATTAATGAAACTCCAAGTGGTAAAATATTGACTTTTTTAAAAATATTTTTATATATATTATATATATAAATGTATAATCAAAGTTTTAATATAACTTTAGTCTCATACGCAAGTTTGAATTTATAATTTTTTTGGCTCGTTAAGCCTCGTGAATAGGCTCGAACTCAAGTCAAGCTTAAACCAACTCGGCTTGAGCTCGGTTCGTTAAATTTTTATTGAGCTAGAGCTCCAGTTGCTTGAGCTCATTAAATCTTAATAAACAAGACCAAATATATTAAAGTTTGGCTTACCTCGGCTCGGCTCGGCTCATTTGCAGTCCTAAATAAGGGATAAAGTACGCTAACCCCAAACTATAAGAAGTAAAATAAATTTAACCCAATATTATAATAACCAACAAACCTCTTTAAGGAATATAAAATTGTCGTAAGACTAAAATTAAGTTGCTATTCTCAAATATGTTTAGTCAAGAGAATATTTTTGATATAGGAACTCTCAAATTCAAGATCATTCACTTCACAAATTTATGAGAAACAAAGTCATAAGCACGTGATAATAATTTATACGTATAAACTGATACAATATTTATCTAATATGATCTTTAAAATTTCATAATATGATATGATATGATTCAAACTTTATTTTTGTCATGTGACATGCATGCTTCTCAAAAAGCTATGCAGCTAGTTTTGGATACTAATAGTAATTGTTTGTTTCAAACAATTTTCATATATTGTTCACTGAGAGAAAAAAAATAAAATATTTTAATTACCAATTTTGTGATTTTCATGGGTGGAGCAGAAGTAAGCAGTAAGGAGTGGGATTTCAGAAACATGACAGAACAAGAAGAAGATCTCATCTACAGAATGTATACACTCGTCGGAGAGAGGTATATAAATTAATTAATATATGATTGGAAAACATAAAATGATTTACAAATAAAAAATTAAACAATTTTTTTTATTAAAATAATGCGATAATACTTTTCTTTTTTTAAAATTTTTTTAAATATGTGTCATTTATGAACATTTGTTTTTAAAATGATTATAAAAAGAATAAATATAAGAGCACACTTATTTTTACATCTATTTATACACTCGTCTCACTATGGGGGTGTAAATAGGTATAGAAATGTGTGATTGTAGCATTGTTTATATAAAAAATTTATATAATTTTTTTTTATTTGTATAGCGTTATTGTTGGTATATATCATATCATCATTCACAAACAATTTTTTCTTATAAATATTTTAAAAAATTAAATTATTTATTTAAGTAACTCACTTTTCAATTAATTAGGCCTAATATAGTCGCCACCATGACTCTTTTAAGAGCTTAGTCTCATTGGGAAGGCCATAGGTTCAATTTGGTGCTAATTTAATAACTAATAATTGACTTTCGCTGGTCAAAAAGAAAAAAGTAACTCACTTTTCAAATTATGTAGCAAACTAACCAACTTTTTTAAAATACAAATTCAAAATGAGATTTTACCGTTAAATTGTAGGTTTAAAATGTAATTTCATGATGAAATTACACCTTGAAGATGTGATTTCATAATAACATGACCCACTGGTGTCATAAATGTAGATCATGTCAATATAAAATCACATTTTAAACTTATGATTTTAAAAAATCAATTAGTATGATAAATAGTTTGAAAATTTTAATTATTTTCATAAATAATTTAATTTTTTGAAATACTCAAAAAAAAAAAAAAAAAAAAACTCCACTAACACCATTGCATATATATAATTTTTCAATAATAAACCATAGGGGTGTTCGCGGTTCGGATTTGGATGGTTTGTGGATCGGTTTAGACCCGCCCGCATCTATGCGGTTTGGGGAAAAGACAACTCGCAACCGCCCGCAATGCGGTTTGCGGTTTGTGTAGATAGGATTTGCGGATATGTGGGTGGTTGCGGACGGTTTGCGGATTGAACTTTTTTCTTCAAAAAATTATTTTTGAGCCTTATTTTTTTCCCATTTTGTAAATATTTATTTTGGGCCATTTTCTTCCCATTTTCTGAAATGCTCCAACATTAATAATTAATGAATTAAAACTTATAAAATTAAAAATATAATAAAATCAATTCGTAACACAAACAAATCATTAAAATCATAAACTAACACAAACATATATTTCAAAATCCTAAACTATAACTCCATATTCATTAAGGAATTTAAAATTCCAAATCACACTTCATCCGAGACAAGTTCAGTTATGTAACAATAATAATATGATCAGTATTTATTCAGTTTCAGTTGATATAATACTATTAGCAAATGTATTGCTAGAGTAAGTTCAAAAAATAAAGGGGTGTTTTGTTCTGGACAAAAATATCTAGGTGGGATATAGAAATCAAATCAATAGTTAAGATAAAAAATAAATAAATAAATAAGAAAAGTGTGGGCGGTTTCTTGCGGGTGCAGGTTAAACCCGCAACCCGCAAAGATACCATATTTCAAACCGCATCCGCACATATTGTATTTGCAAAACCGCCCATTTATATGCGAATTGGGCGAGTTGGGCAGTTTTTCCGGATCGGATAAACCGTTGCCCATTATGTAAATAAATTTCATTTCATAAATGTGGTAGCTATTACGTTATGTTGAATTTAATAGTTACATATTAATAAATAAATAGATTTTGTTAAATGTGTTTTTAACACACATATTAAGAGAATTAAAAGAATTGTATATTCTGCATGAAAATAAAGTGCAATAGACACCTAACCAGCCACATGGATAACATGTGTAAATCAGTTTTTTTTTTCGTTTGTTTTATTTAATGTAAATAGGTTGATAATTTAAATTGAAAATAAATCAAAAGATTATGATTTAAATTGATCAAATTAAAAATTTATAATTTATTTTGTTACAATAGTCAAACTCTAATATATATATATATACTAACAGTAAACCCATACTATGCACGAGATAAAAATAATAAATTTAATTATATTTTTTAAATAAAAATTTAAGTGATATATTATTTATGTTTCAACGTTACACTAATAACATATTATTTATGTAGAATATTTGATATGCTGATGAAAATAAAGTGCAATAGACACCTAACCAGCCACATGGATAACATGTGTAAATCAGTTTTTTTTTCGTTTGTTTTATTTAATGTAAATAGGTTGATAATTTAAATTAAAAATAAATCAAAAGATTATGATTTAAATTGATCAAATTAAAAATTTGTAATTTATTTTGTTACAATAGTCAAACTCTAATATATATATATACTAACAGTAAACCCATACTATGCACGAGATAAAAATAATAAATTTAATTATATTTTTTAAATAAAAATTTAAGTGATATATTATTTATGTTTCAACGTTACACTAATAACATATTATTTATGTAGAATATTTGATATGCTGTTAATCAAATTTTTTTAAATTTATTAATTGAATAAAAACATAATTTTACAAAAATATATATTACATTTTAATATAAACCTTTGAAAGCAGTGTTTGTGCCTTTAAAACTTGCTAACATATTAATTATACATTGAAAATTCATCTTAAAAAATTTAAATTTAAGCTAGTAAGATGTTTAGCACGAAGTGTTTAAAATACTTTGAATGTGAGTTTATATTAAATCTTAATAAAATATTTATCATTCTTTATTTAATATTAAAAAAATTAAGTTCTACAAATTACAAATTATAAAAAAAATAGCATTATTAATTCATTACTTGAATTTTAATTATTCATTTTATTAAATATACTCAAGTGTAATTCATTATAATTTTTTTTTTATACATATCGTAGGTTTTATTAAATATACATAAAATGTAGTGAAATATGTATTTATAGTTAAATTTTGATAGAATATTTTTACCTTATCACATAAATTAAGGGGTTTGTGGGGTGTCCTAAATAAGTGTATTTTTTGTTTTTTTAGACTAAAAAGTTAAGAAAAAAAATATGAATGTTTGGGTTAACTTTTGGACTTTTTATTAAAAAATGTGTATTAAAATATGAAAAATGTTTCGTAGCTCGAAACATTTGCCCCGAATGGCTCGATTTTGAAGCAGAGGGGAAGAGAGAAGCAGAGGGAGAGGGAGAGAAAAAGAGAAGCAGAGAGAGAGGGAGAGAAAGAGAGAAGCAGAGGGGAAGAGACAGAGAGAGAGAAGACGATCGTCGCCCAGCCACCGATCGTCGCCCTGCCCAGCCGCCAATCCGCCGATCGTCGCCCAGCCCAGCCCCGCCGCAGCCTCCGACCGCCGTCGCCCCGCCTCCGCCTCCTCTTCTCCCGAATATTATGCCCCCTCCACTCCTCCTCCTCCTCCTCTTCCTCCTCTCTCCCTTCTTTCTCCTCCTCATCTCTTCCTTCTTCTTCCTGGTCTTCGTTCTTCTTCTGCGAAAAAAAAAAAATCGAGCCATTCGGGCTCCCCGTTTTCGAGCTATGTAGCGCGATCGTTAAAATATTGTATAATTAAATGTGTAGGAGAAGATAATTAACTAATCCGTACGTTTGCACAACGCGTCGGTTGAAAAGGATATGGGAAAAGATTGCTTATTTTTTGGCCTTTGATTGGATGGTATTGTTCGGCCCGTGGAGACCCACCACGGGTCCCGTTTTTCTAATCGGAACCGTTCAATGTGTAGAACTCATCGAATACTATATTTTTGTAAAAAATCACATTCATTGAATATCGATAGCTATCTGATCGTGTTAGTTTTTTTGTCACATGTTAACTATAACACCATCTATTTTTTATACAAAAATGATTTGATCATGTAGTTAGCGATATCCGATAGAAGTCATTTTTTACAAACATATAGTACTCGACAAGTTCTACACATTAAACGGTTCCGATTAGAAAAAAGGAACCCATGGTGGGCCCCCATGGGCTCAATTTTACCATCCAATCTAAGAATGTACACATGTAATATATATTTTTTTTCCTTTCACTCCTGTGCTTTGATGTCTGTATATAGGCTGCCATGCGTCGGCTGATTTGTATTTAACATTATATATATTAATTTTTTTATATATATTTTTTTTTGTGAATAGTGATAATTTTTTAATTTTTTAAATAATTTTTTGATTTTTTATCTTTTTTTTAGAGGTGCCAAACTTGGCCTAACTTTATTCGTGATATTATATTGAGGTTAAGATATTATATACCTTTGATTGGCTTCTTTTAAAAATGGGTGTCTTATCTAATATAAACTCAATTTTATATATAAAGAAAGTAATTTATTTATATATTGGGTGAATTATACTAACAGTCCTTATAATTTGATGCTTGTGACATTTTGGCCCTGTTTGGTAGGGCTTATTTCCAGCTAATTTCAGCTTTTAGCTTAATTTAAGCTATTTTGATATGTTTGGTTCAGTTTAACAATACAGCTTATAGTTTTTTATAAGTTAAAAATCAACTTATTCTTTGAGTGGGGGAGGAGAAGCTTAATTTATAAGTCAAAAATCAGCTTATGTTCACAGTTATAAGTTATAAGCTGTTAAACTATAAACTATAATCACTTTCCCACAGCTCTACCAAACGGGGCTTTTGATTCATAACTTTTTAATTATGATACATTTGACCCCGAATTTTGAGTCTTGTTCCAAATAAGGGCAATTGAAGATACCATTAGATTTTTCAAAGGCAAAATCGTCAATTTTATAAAACATAAACTAATTTGATAAAAATAAATGTCAAAAAAATATTTTTGAATTTTTTAAAATTAAAACTACCCACTAAAAATAAAATTATGTAAAATTGATAAATCTTTTAGACATTTATTTATTTTTTATCAAATTAGTTTTCATTACGTGTTTGGATGATAATCATGTAATATGTGATTATTTTTATTTTCATTAAATTAGTTTTTATTTTTTCAACAGTCAAATATGGTGACAACATTGA